TATTATAATTGGTTAGACTAGCAGAATGTCGGTCCTTATAACAGCTTGGAGTTGTCATGCTCACTGAAAGGTCACACTGGCGGTGGCATGGGCACTGGATCGCTTAATTCCCTATAATATGGTTGAGTTGGGCGATGCTGGTGTACGTGTCATGCTCGTGAACGAGCGCCGTCAGTTGGGACTGGTCAGCTCCAGACTGTCTATTGTCCTTAAGGTTACTTTATTTTTATATTTGAATAAATATTAGTGTTACACTGTTCTCACATAATTGAACAAACTGTTTGTAAAAGGAATCTGTATGTGAAACTGATTTAAAAAGAGTAACCATGGAGTTTCTTGCTCGTTCTTCTCCATCGGAATCTACACTTTGGAACGAGCAAATAGCTTCACTAAGAGGACTGACCGACAGACTGACACTATTTTTTATTTTAAATTTTGTTTGACGTTCAAAAGTGCCTGTAAAGGTCTAATTGGAATAAATGATTTTTGACTTTTGACTTTTTGAAATGAATAAAATCAATTACTTTGATAAAAGCCGGTCCGTCCCGGTTTCGTACATTGCTTAGCAATGACCCCTAATGTTCTTTAGGAACAAATATACAACTCAGGGTGAATTTAGCATCGGGGACGCTGTTATAACTGCGGTAAGACCCCTCTTTGAAGAGTGACTAGAGAGATCCCACGGCGTCCTCACCTTCCGCCTCATGCAGGTGCTTGCCGGACACGGATGCTTCGGTAAGTACCTGTTTCGAATCCGGCTGGAGGAAACGTCGGTTATCGTTATTGTGATAACCATCCAGAAAACACGGTGGAGCTTAGGTACAGTGACAGTGATGCTGTCCTCAGGGAATTGATCGGAGGCGACGACCTCTCGCGGTCGGTCTTAGTCAAGGCCATGGCGCGGAGCGCGAACAGCTGCGAAGCCCTATCCTCTTTTTGATGTGATGCTCGCAAAGAAGGAGGCGGAATGCGTTAGGGAACTATCCTCCTCAAGCACCAGCCTTAAAAAAATCATAATGCAAGACACGTTTCGAGTTAAGTCAAAGACATTATGACACACAAACTGCATAGACTACAAAAGTGACGCACTATAAATCACTGGCCAATTGAGATGGCCTTAGTGAGCACGTAAAGCCTTAGACTCACGCACTATTACCTAATAAGGCCTATAGAACTACAGTGTTACATACGGAAGTACTCCGGACGTCTAGTTTTTTGCATACAGAGAAGAGTAGGAACGTGTGTTCCCACGCGACTCTTGCGCAATGCGATCTCGTTCTGTATTGTGTTGTGGTGTGTTTCCATTATTATTGACGTTAGGTGACTTTTGCTTTTATTACGGGTTACTAATGTTGAAAGAAATAATACCTAATTACGGGGAACAGATGAACACACTCGTAAATAAATACATATCCTGTCAAAATCATAACCCTCCTTTTGCTTTGCCGTAGTCGGGTAAAGCACCATGTTTCGCAGGTTGGTTCGCGGCATGATCTTACAGAGAGCCCATTCATATAATACAGAAATAGTTTTTGAACAGTCCTGTTTCAGCACGAATGAACCAACCCGACCCGAGTGATACACACACACACACACACAGCCTGATAGAAAAGATTACACGAACACGGCTAAACACAACGCGTCTGAGTTGTGTGTGTCAGTGACGTTACTGGAAGCACAGTCTTTTCTTACCCTTTCTCCAACATTCAATGCTCCAATTATTAAATCCTCTCTGGTATTGCGGGTGTCTATGGGCGGTGCCAATTGCTTATCATCAGAAGATCTGACTGCTCCTTTAGGTACCAGCACGATAATAAAGAAATCTTACAGGTATTCCATTTTTATACATATTCCAGCAGACCTTCTTTTTGATATCGACTGTTTCTAGAACCATGTAAACAAACTACAAACAGAAGCACAACTGAAGATGAAACGATTACAATTCTAATCACAGCAAAACAGTTGAAACAAAAGCGAAATCACTTAATACCATTTACAGTTTTATAAACAGATAGAAGAAATCAACGTAACAACAGCGAGATCCGACTCGAAATAGCACAGAGACGCCATCTTGAATACTAATTGTTGGTAGATGGATAAATCCTGTGAGTCATCAGCTTTCACTATCTGCGCAATAGTCAAGTTAATCCATGTTAATGTGTAATGGGTCTTATAATAGGGATGTTGGTATTTTTGAATAGTAATTGTCGTTAGATATATTATTGACAATAATTCACGAGAATGAACTGAGTAAATCCTCGCGGAGCCAACAGGTTGGCTCGTCGCCTTGGCCGCGCACGTTCCTCATAAATAAGATTCCCGTTGTGACTTGAAACTAGTAGAGATTTTCTTAGTTGGTTTGCGGGTTTCCAATAAATTAAGGGATGTTGATAGATACTTTTTATGATAAGTTTTTATTTTTGATAGGAAGGTAGGTATGTGTTGTTTTAAATTTCAATATAATTTTTTTTTAAACTTTGCCCCACTATCGGATTTTCTTCTGAGTCGTAGGTGCGGTTACAAACATAAAATTTCACATACACATGACACCCAGACCTGGAGCAACAATTTGTGTAAGAGTTGTTCCGTGCGGGAATCGGACACGCGACACGTTGCACGGCAGCCAGTTGCCCAGCCACCGCACCAACCGCGCGTTCATATATGTAGTATACATACATACTCTACTCTATTCATACTCTCATTCAAAGTTAACCTGAAGAGCTAGTACGAGACACAGCACAAACCTTGTTTCACGTCTCTTTTCTGCAAGGCCGTTGTATCACTTCGACCGACCCGGCTACACTTTTATACAATAGTCGACTGAACTTATTGTTACAAAAGAATGTAACATTATAATAAAATACACACATTTAATTGTAGTATTTTCTTCCTAACTACACTTCGATAAACAATACCAACGTTGATCGAAGTAACTACACCATAAACTTTCTCTGCAAAACTGTCACATAACTAAACTAAATAACATGTTGTAAATAAACCGTAACAATTGTAAATGTAACTGCAAACATGTTGATCTCTGTGTAAACAAGGCTTTCTTTGTTTTTCAGCCATTTCCCGGTGTCACGTGTTATGTATTTGTTACAGGTTATTATTGTGGAATGGTGGAAAATTGTATGTATTTTTTAAATGCAACCCAGGTAGAAGAGGTTGTATATGAATATTCTTTTTTTTTAAATATGAAATGTTGCCTAACTATACGCAAGATGCTCGATTAGTTTCAAGCTCTAAAACGGGCTCATAATCAGGATTGCATCTATACTTTTATCTATACTCAATACTCAATACTTTATTGCTTTCCACATGTATTCTTAGGTGGTAGTACTTATAAATAGTTCACATGGACCCTGTCGGGCACAGCAAAGCTCTTATCGGCTATATAGGCAAGTAAGTTATATATATTTAATAATACTTTTAGCAAAATCAGAATACATTCTCCCATTAATTATCAAATAAAACATTGTATAGATAGATAATTATGCTCTACCAAAAAGTGACAAATTATTAAGTTTTATTCATTTTACATATCTGTATGACAGTCAGTTATTCATTAGCACTGAACTATTGCCCAACTACTAATTTTAACAAGCAACACAAAGTCATCTCCGTTTATCTTACTAAATACGGCGAAATATCACAAAGTTCACATTACTGCTTATGCTTGGCCCCCATTTACTTTCTAAGTGTGGGGAGCCATGTTTTGCATGGGCTATCTCGACTGAAGTGATACCACAGCCCAGAGAAGACACCATGAGACACCCACAGCGTGTTTTGTCGTGTGATTGATATTACCGATGGCCCGATTCTTCTCTCCCCAATCCACAAAACTTCTTACAACTAAAATGATGGCAACGCTCCTGCAACTCCACTTGTGTTGTAGGTATCCATGAACGGTGCTGTTTGCTTACCATCAGGTAACACGACTGCTCATTTGCCGCCGAATGACGTAAAAAGAAACTTGGAATTCTTCATTACAGTTCAAATATCAGCTCACAAAATATAACAATAGAATTGCTTTCTCATAGCTCCTTTTTAACACCGATCATTATACAAATAAATTTTAAATTTATATATAACGAAAAGTTTAAGCTTGTAACTTCTTTTTAACCATTTACAACTCTATTTACAAACGGAATAAGGTTGAGTTTTAGATACAGAAGATTAAAATCCATGACAACTTTAATCATACAAAATTCGATCACTAAACGATTTATTGAGCGATCACCAAAACCTGTCTACTTTTCTCCTAACCTTATTTCTGTCTTGCTTACTCATTTGACATATATGTTTATATGACAAGGACAGAAGACGATAAGCTATGTGGAGGACAATAATGTCACCGAAGTATTGCTTTCTTTACCTTGTAAAGTAGGTTGCTTCGGTTATGTCAGGTGTAAAACTTTATATGAGCTGCTAAAGTGTGACTTGCATGATTTTGGTGTGACAATTTCTTTGTATTAAAAGTCTACGTGTTTTTCAAGGGCCATTAAAAATAATGTGAATTCTGGTATCTACTGCTCTATTTTTTTTACCGACATGTTTATTTTGAAAAAGCAAATTAGAAAAAAAAATTGGTAGCTGATAAAAAATTATTCATAAAGTTTATGTTGACTCAATTAGCTGACCGATTCGTAGTTACTTTTCCCATTGAATGGCAACCATCCGTTTTTTGAAACACCAGAAGGAATTTATAACTTCCATTTCAAAATTAAATGTAGACTTACTCATCTACATTTAATCTCATCTGTATCACCATTTAACCCACGTAGTCGAAACTAACATTTCGCCAAAATAGAACAAACAGCTCTATAGACATCCAAAGTAATTCTTTGATCTCGTATATCACGACACTTAGGTAAGGTCTAACAAATGGCCTTAGTTTATAATAAAATAGTCTTTATCTTCTCTATACACTTCCTCTCACTAGATTATGCGATGTCTATTAGCGTGGTGCGCCGGCCGGCCAGCTGACTAGTAAGCGAGGCGACGCGACGCAGGCCGCACGCATATCGATATCGCGTAAGCGTAACGTAATCCACGCGTACACACACGTAAAACATTACGCCGTGCGATAATTCATAATTCGAATAATGTGCTTGTGTTTTTAAAGTGATGTTTTAAATTCATTGTTTAATCTGTCTTTTGAATTTTTTGTGTGGGATTTAGAGAAATTGGTAGGTTTTTCCCATATTTTTTTTTTTTGCTTTTCTGTGTATAACTGTATGTTGGTTCGGAACTAAAACCTAGACCTACATATGATATTAAGGCTCTTGTTTAGAAATGATTTAAAATTAATAAATTATACAGGTTTATTCGTTGTGTTGGTATGAAATGTGATCCTAATACAGAAGGATGGAGAAACCTAATATTATTTATGTGCAATTTAGAATAGTTTTAATGAATACATCATTACAATAATTTATGATGTTTTTTTCTGTAGTATTTTGACATTTGGTACCACTATTTATGTTCTAGTATTTCTTACTGGTATTACATTTTTCTAATCTATAAAATGTGATGCGAAGAAAAATAAGCGACAGAAATGAAAACTTCAGATTTGACGGATAAAATTAATTATATTTCATTTCTAAGTACAGTATGTGTAAAAACTTAAACCATTTCGTTGAACAAATAAGTATTTTAAAAAATATAGTTTATCTTTTTAGATATTAATTAAAAAGACTTTATCCATTAATCAAAGTTAATGCTATTGATTATCTACCCACTAACTAGAAAATTTATCATCCAAACCAAACATGGAAGCTTACTTTATAAATTGATGCTAATGAACAATTGAATGCATCATCATTGTAATAACATAACGCTATTTTTTGCGTAATTTTGAAAATCTAATTCTATATAAAATTTATTACACATATGTTGTCTGTGAAAACAATAAACTTATTAGTTGTTAACAAAAAAAAAATGATTGTGTGCGTGATACATATACATAGGCAAACTTTACTTCTATATAGCTAGGTAATTTACTAAGTTAATCAAATCGTTTTAAATACAACGATTATTCTTTAAAAGCTTTAAAACTTCTGAAAGGTTGCGTAGATATGCAATTGTTCACGATGCACATAATATTTGTAGTAGTTCTCAATATCCAACTGTTATGTTATAATGTTATATGACCATATGCAAGACACAATATTAAATGACTGTCATTATTAAGATTTTTTTTCGAAAATTCGATAAACCCAAAATCAACAGCCCGCAACGTGCCGTGTCTCCGTAAAAGAGGTCTAATACCAAAGTATTTACCGGCCTCGAATCAAAGACTCCTTGCTCAGATGATCCCTGCGACCACTCAAAAGCGCTAAAAACCTAACCTTGTGCTCAACTAACAGTCATAAAGAAGACAATTAGTCATAAAATATGTCATAAATCCAAACCAAAAAGGATTTTACGCACCGTTTTATGAAACAATATTCGTATAAATAAATAAATTCCCACGACAATTATTATCTAAGAGTTGAAATTCAGCATCCGCAACCGAACGATTACATATTCAAATTACCATAATACTTGTTATCTTGATTGTAAACATTATTATGTTAAATTTGTGATATAATGTTGTTGATTGCGAATCTTAGCGCCTCCAGCTGTCAGACTTATTGGTTGTTGATGGTGGTAATTTGTCAATAAGTGGCTATCTACATATATAGGTAATCCTACTAAGTAATATAATAAACGTGAAAACTTTTTAGTGTGGATGGATATTTGGTAATCTTTCTTGCAAAAACTACAGGATGGATTTAATTAATTAAACCCCAAGCTAAGGCCGGGGTTCGTGAACCTATTGTCTTACAATAGATAGCCACACAAACATACAATAGGTTGAAAAATGATCCATGAGCTTCTCTTGTTCCGAGTAGACCGAGAGGGAGTGGCAGATTCGAGGTGATTAGAGCTGGAGCCATTTTTTACCCTAGTGCTGTGGGCGCAGCCGCTGGTAGAAACTAGTATATTGCCAGCCTGTGATAGTCCATTAAACTCAACTAAAACATGGTCATCCTCTAAACAAGTGTATTTGTCATAATTTTAACGTGCTGTATGTGGCTTGAAGACCATAGTTTTAAAGGACAAGGTTTAATAAAAACACCCCAGCCAAAAAATAATTTGTTTTATTCACCTGGTTAAAATTTTCGTCTAAATTACTTTGTTATGAAATAATGGACCAACGCGTGATGTTATTAAATTACGATTTTGCCAAAAAAACACAAAATAATGAAATTGAAACTTCTGAAAATAACGTAATATCTACTTTTTAAAAGGTCGATACAAAAGACATCAACGCGCAACTATCTTGTACCACATTCCTAGAACTAATGATATAATTTATTTCGCATATCTCGCATAGCTTTTTTCTTAATTAAAACTAGTTATTATCTTAATTATTTTTATATACATATTTCTTACGTACAAATAAGTGGAACTCTTATTATTAAACCAAGAATAAGATAAAGTTAAAGAGAAATAAATAGAATATGTATAGTATCGTAGAAAAGGTATTGTCATTAAAGCATTTTATAAATAAATATATTTTTCTTAGTAAATGCAAAAATACTTTGTTTATAAGTTATCCCACTCATATTATAAACGCAGGGGTTTTTTTTCCCGAGCGTACGGCGCGTAGCGTTCCACACGCGCCTCAATGAGCCAATAGACCACCACAGACGGGGCCCTATAGGGCTGATGTTCAGCCGGGGTTGCGGGGTAAGCGCAACCTCTCCCGCCCGGCCCTGGGCGTCAGTCATTTGATGATTTTCCCCTCACAAAAAAGAAGTTTTTGTTTGTTACTATTATGTACTATTATGATGCATAGTTTAACGTTCGTTGCTGGTTCCTAAATCAAATTTTACATAAAGATGATCTATCTTCATTACATAGGTTACTTTTTACCCGAGTACTGCGCGAAGCCGCTAGCAAGGTATTGTAAATAGCCTTCCTCAATAAATTATTAGGTCTTATTTTTTTAACCGAATTCCTTATGTCATTTAATAAAATTTACATAGAATCCATCGTTAAAATATTAGTAATAGGAGCTCTATCCGACAAATTTTAAATAAAGCATTAACTTTCCTAAAAAATGGGGGATGTAACTCCAAGCTTTGAAGCTATAAAATGTTTTTTTCAAAATAATACTTATCCAAAAGGAGCATATTCTTATACATGCAAATCTAACAAAGCCAAATTATTAAACTAGCTTTTGCCAGTAGCTTGGTCTGCTTTTATGGCATGGTCGCCTGGATGGAAACCTATGTTGGTGTTTTTGTAGGTTCATTATAGGCCATGTATACTACAGATATGGACCACTGAAGTGGAAGTAAAATTGGTATAGGTCAATTCTCATTAAAATCAATTCAGTAGTTTTTACGTCAAAAAGTAACACACACACATACATCCATCCATCCATACTAAACTATCGCGTTTGCAATATAAGAGAGACTTAATTTAAAATAAATTTAAACGAATAAAAAACTATCACGAACGATAAACTAGAACTAGCTGTTGGTTTGTTTATCGTTGACAGTAATGAGGTAACAAGCCACGATCGGCCTTTCTCGCTCGATGATCGAGATCCGATCGTGGCGACCTAAGCGAACTTCTGGCATTTCCATACACTCGATGAAATGGGCCATTACTGTTTTTAGTAATGGTGTGTTGAATCCGCTGGCTTGTTTTGTTCTTCTATTCTTGTAATTGCTTATTTATAAAAAAAAAATCAAGCACATACAAAATACTTTCAAGTTGACTAGGCATCTATGTCTTAAGTGTCATTGCACGAGACGTCTTTTCTCAGGCGATCTGAACTTCTGCAATCCTTAACCTATAATACATAAATATAAATAAAAATCAGAAATCTCTTCAGCCATAAAAATGCGCATAAGATTTTGAGACTTTAAGCCCACGATAGCACTCTCTTTCTCTATAAGTAAAAATTTTACAGGGTGAAACAAAACGTACAATATGCATTGTTGCACTTTGATTTTCACGTCGACTTTAGTCGAGCTCTCCCCTACAAAGACTTTTCTCTTCTACCTCTCCAAAAGCCAGTAGCAACTTACTATAAGCATACCATGCTAAGTTATAATAATACATACATATATAGTAGTAGTAGATTAACAGTAGCCCAAAAAATTAACATGAAATAAAATAAACACAAGTCGTCAAATAACAGTTAAACAATATAAATATTACACAGTTGTTAACTCATCATTTATGAGCCTGGTATTAAGTCGTTCAGCTCTGTTGGTCCCATTCAAGATATAATCCCTGGCTTCCTTTAGAGTAGACGAAGGAAATTATGCTAGACTCCTTGTATTTAATAATATTATATTTTATACCTGTTTAATAGAATAACCTAGCTGAAGTTCTTTTTAGCGTTAATTTAAAATCAAATATTTGTAGTATTTTTTTGGTTTTTTTTATAACGTTATCCCGCAACCGCGGGACTTGCTGTCAATTGCTTCAAGCTATCTTTTCCTGTGTCGTGGGTGCGTTTATGCAACTTTACTAACTCATATACGTAGTACACTCAGAATTTAAACAGCAATTTGGGTAAACTAAAACTAACTGTAATGTTGTTGTTGTATGTTTATATCAGTACAAAACTGAAAAAAAAACAAACGGCAGACAATTTTTATGGGAAATCAAACGAGCACGGATTATCCGATGATTAGGAATCAGCGCCGCAAATGGACACCCGCAACAGCAGAGGAGTTACGAGTGCGTTGCCGACCTTCTGGGATTAGGCATTTGAAGAATTACACAAACTTATACAAACGGAAATCTTTCAGAAGATAATTTAGTATCTTAATTCTGTAACTAAGCAAAATCATAAGCAACAAATAAGATAAACATCTCAAGCTCGATTCGCAATTTATATTTTCTTAGAAATGTATGTAACCACAATGGATAAACGAGCAAGTATTTGAACCCCGACCCCTTGAACCGCAGTGCAACTTCTACCGTTTGAGCGCATGACCTTCGTTGAGAGTTACACAACCCTTACTTGGAACAATATTTCTTTGGGCGTAACATTACAAGAAATTATCTTTAATTATTAACTTCAGTTTAAATAGTAAGTCTTACTGATGGCACAGTAGTGATTCGATTCCCGTGATGTGTATGTGTAAATTAATAAGATTTATACGCTATGAAAAAAAGTCTTGATTTTATCTAAACTTTTACATAAGTCTTTTCGGAACAAAAGTCACCACAACAGTCCTTATTATGTTATTGTTGTATAATAATTTCCTCAAAACAGGACAATCGGATAGGTACTTTTAAAAAGTATTTTTAATAAGTAATGAGCAATGAGTAATCCATGTGAGGTCAAGTTAATTTAAAAATATGTACTTAATTTATTATTAATAAAAATGGCCGTTAAATTAACGATTTTGGGAAAAAGGATATGAAGGTTCACACCCAAGTTTAATAATTTAATTCTGTTAATATTTTTTCGTATATTTTTTTTTTACTTGTACGAATAATATAATAAAAGTTCCTTAAAGAAAATAGGGAGCAACAAGTGCAAGGTGTCAGAGAGCCATGCTTTGGCACAAATGGGCAGTTCTGTAGCGATACCACGGCCTCACAGAAAATCGACGTGAAACAACGCTTGGGTAATGCTACACAGCATCGGATGCCCAACACTCGCTAACCTAACCTAATAATTAAGTGCCCAACTGCCTATAGGCGGCGCCGATTGCTTACCATCAGGATATCAAACTGCTTATTTGCCGCCCTGTCCCTTAAAAAATCACCTACATTTTTCAGTTATATAATGGATTCCATGTAATAGAGGGCATATTATGAGCATGTACCATTATACCTGGCTATATAACTATATATAACTTCTCCTCCCCTTATCACATAATCTCCAAAACGGCCGGCAATGCACTCGTAACTCCTTTGGAATGAAACAGCTCGTTTGCCCAACCATCGCACTAAAACCAAACGAAAAGTTTCAAAGAAAAATACTTTTATCCAATCTGGAAATTTAACCCATATGAGGCACCGCAACCTCGGCCCAGAGCAGGAGAAGGAACAGGAGGGTTTTTAGCCTGTAAGAGTCTGACACTCCCGGCCCTAGGCGGGAGAAGTCATTTGATGATTTTCCCCTTACAAAAAATGCCCTTGTTTGATAGTAGCCAGTAAGGTCTTACGAGCATCGACAAACGAAGCAGAAATTATGTTGCTTTACGGACAAATAATACAATATTAGCATAGGATTGCAAGACACGTATACACCATATAAGTATGTATGCACACTTGTATGTTGCAATCCACAATATTTTGCCTGCTATCCGATCGCTGTGAGAAATGAACCATTGTGCAGTCTCTTTTACCAACTACCTATTGTTGTACACCGTCCTTCTTCAAGGAGAATACATCTGCAGCCGATAAGGCTTCTTATAAACTTTTATTAACCCTATCCTCGTTTAATATTGAAGTCCAAATTTTGTGTTTTTTACTCAGTACTTACATAATCATGTCTAAATCTAAATATGGTAGAAAATGCCTTAGGCATTAAGTCCTCCTATATGGGTACATAGTTGATGCATGTCGTGCATGAAGTTTAAATAAAAAAATAAAAATCATATTTTCTTCTCGACCCAAGTTCTCTTTTCGTGAGAGGAAAGAGAAAGACTTGGAAGCCATCTCCTCTTTCTGTGAATCAGTGATACTGGCAAAGGAAAAGACGGAGTGCGTGAGGGAACTATCCTTCTCCCTCCTAAAGGCTACACTTCGGGCATCGGAGATGTAACCTCGAGTCTGCGGTCGGCGAGGTTAGCTCGCTGCCTAAACCAAAACCACACCAGTGAGGCATATTTTACAAGCTTCTTTTTCTACCTAGAAATCATTCGAGCAACTACCTCGACCAGTTACGCGAGCAAGCCGTAATGCATTAAAATCCACTTTTTCACTTTGCTCATCTATCGGTGACAAAAAAATCCAAATTTGACATTAATTGAGTCATTTTTAAATATGAATCATATGTTTTTGCAATAAATAACAAAGTTGAATTTTCGCTAACTCACGATTGAGATTATTATCATTAAGACAATGCTTAGATTCGGGTCGATCTCATAACGAAATTATTGTTATTTATTTTTGGTTTAGAGGTTGAGAGTTCAATGGATTTTCCAAATACGTGTTTGTTACGTCTTGTCCTATTTTATTTACAAAGTCTATGACCATAGTGACGCATCTGTTTTTTGATGAGGTAGATACAACTTCGCCAACTACGAGTTTATATGTAATTGTTTGATAAAGACCTCAACTAGTTTCACACAGTCTGTGAGAAGTTCGTTAAGTTGTTTAGAACACACGACCAGCTGTTTAGAGCCCCTGGGTTCACAAGTCAGGGTTACGGGTTCCAGAGCAAATATATATACCAAAGGTAAAGTCCGTAAAAGTCAGGTACTCGCCTAACGCAGAGAGGTAGCAGACGAACACTTTTTTTGCCATCAAAAAAAGCCCATCTCGCATTTTAAAATTAGCCGAATTTCTCGTGAAATAGTTACTCAAGTTAGATATTAAAAGCAGTATTTTTATAAAAAAGTTTTCAAGTAATTGAATTGATTTGTAACCTAAAAATAAACTCTATTATAGCTTAAACTTTTTTCAAACTATTGTGTATCTTAGTGCAAACATACAAAAAACAAGAATGATTCTGTATCATACCATCTCACGAAAAGAACTTTGGCTTTGACAGACGTGATACTATTGTATTTTAGACTAGATTTCTTACTTAGAAATTCTAAGAAATAAATAATTATTCAATGCAAGTAGTTCAAGTAACAAGGAAATAAGCCTAGAAATTCAAGGTTATCATGTGCTTATTAAAACTTAAAAAAAAGTTTACACGATGGATTCAAAAGCGTACATCATACTTTTTTATTAAAAAATAAACCGATTCCATTTTCGTGATGTAAATAATACTTATTTCATTTCATATTTTTATTACGATCTGAATTATTACATTAATTACAATTTCCATTTATATACGAAAGTTACGATGTTTGTATGTTTGTTACTTAATCACGACTAATCTGGATGAAATTTGGCACAGGCATAGGATACGCTCCGAACTAGGATATAAGCTACATTTTATCAACATACTTCGCGGGCGAAGCCGCCGGCGAAAGCTAGTTTATAAATAATGTAAATGTTGTATTTGATGCAAAGTATAACGTGACGTCACAACATGCAATGCCGTGTCGTCGTCTTCATACAAACTGTAAATTTTGACAATAGACAAATGAAGTATTTTAATGTGACTAAATAGATGCCATGTACCTAATTTTCAACCACGAAAGTACATTATGAACTTGGTATCGGACAATGCTCATGGTGTCTCCAAGACCTTCACAACATGGAAACTATTACGCAGTGATACGTGTTCGTCATAAAGCATGGCGTATTACCTTACCGGGGAACCTTACAAGGATATCACTAGTTTTGTAATAGAATTGTGGTTTTATGGGATTATCCTTAATGATACCCTTTGTAAATATTCACCGAATCATGTCGATATTTTATACTGTTTTTTTTTAATGTAGCCATACTTTTACTAACGCTTGGTTTTCTAAGTAGATTTTGAAAATAGCACACATCAGCCGAGGCTTCGGGGAAAGTGCAAAAAATACCACGGCCTGGGTCTGGAGCAGAATTGTAGTGGTTTTCAGTCAGTAATAGTCTGACACTCCTTCTCGCCTTACCCTGGAAGAGAGAAGCAATTTGATGAACTTGAACTCCCCTTAGTTAAATTTTTATGCAGACTAAATATTACAAACATTATTTAGCTAGTGCACGAGTGTACGAGTGATATTATCAATCTAATTTAAATTAATCCTTCTGTTGATGGCCAGCCCATTATTAGCATCAACAAATACTTTTTGATTTCATAAGTTTGATTGGATATTTATATTTATTTTTTATGTTAAACTTAAACATCAATAAAATTAATTAATACATTATTTTGTTTCAGATAAAAAATGACGACGAAAACGAAACGACTGGGATTTCAGCTGAAGACTTTTATTTTGGTAAGTTCTTATACCAGTTTAAACAAAAACATTTAACGTAAAAAAATATAACGATCATTGTATTATCAATACTTGTTACACAAAACTAAACATGTCAAAAGTAAAATGTCAAAAGCCTAACCCTACACTGCATCAGATAAAAAAACTAAGTCACAAAAAGGCGCAGTGTCACAGAATGGACACAAAATCGAATTATTTATGCAATGAATCAATTCCTATTTTATTTATCGTGCTAGTCAATTTACATCACAGCAGGAGTGTAACTAAAGTATAACAAATTAACTGTGACAAATTATTAAAACATGTCCAATATTAATTCATTCTGATTTAGTTTTTGACTGATTCTGACTGATAGGTATTTTGTTTTGCCATTTTACTACGTTGACGTTTTTTTGTTTTCTGTTCCTTTTGACCGCGAGTGACCTTTTGTTAGGTTTGGATTAGGGTGATCTTGCGTGCATTAGTGTACAAGCGAGTAAATAATATTTTAGTCGTGGGTCACAATTTGGCTCGTTAGGTATATCTTGATTAAGACATGACGAACTTGATTAAGACATAATGAGGAACATGCCACAATTTCGATGTGTTTGAGAATTAGTTAAGATGAATACTTAAATGAGATCGTTAACATTGTGCTTATACTTTCTACTATTAACAATTTCTTACTTAATTTTACGATTCAAACACGCTACTCGTATTTAGTCAAACATAACCTCAAACAAAACACACACAACACTTAATCTATATTTCACACCACAAAATGAGCAGGAAAACCTCAACAAACACTAGTAACGTATATTCTTTCACCAGAGACCATAAACCATTGCGTGGCATTGCGTCACTGTCACTGCGCACTTGACACAATGTCAGGTTGACACATATTGTGACGCGCGGCGTACACAGGGTTAAAATTAAGGTTGCACGATTTGTGGCCAACATTTTTAGTGTTTTGGTAAACATGGACTCTTTGAAATAGATAGATGATTTCGCTAATGTTTGTTGTGCATTCTAAATTGTGTAGAAATACCTATGTGTTTAGGTATATTTTAGATTTTCTTTTGTTGATTTTATCGTTTGAAATGTTAGGTTTTGGCTAGACTTGGCGATTATGCAAAAGATTAGAATAATGGAGTTGCATTTCTTTGTTGTCTCAAAATATTAGTCTTCCTCAAATTCCAAATAGGTACATATGCCACAAAAGGTACTGGCCTTTACGTACTTGTAACTGACTTGGTTTTGAGAGTGTCCATAGGTACACTTGAACACTACTAAGTATCAGTTGGATAATTTGTCAAATTAGCCCATTAAAGCATATTTTGCAGGATTTCGGTATTGTTGTTTAGAAGTTTTATTTCAAATCCAAAAAGACAAGTTATTCTTGATTCTATTTTTCGTCAACTTGTGACTAATCTGTAATTGTAACGGCAGCGGTGATTGCTTATAATCAGTGTATCAAGATGCCCATTTGCTGCAATACCATAAAACTTGTCAAATTAATTCGATCAGGACAGAACCGAAACCTCAAGCAAAGTGTGAAAATATTACTCAACAGCGCACGCAATGACTCACAAACGAATAACTGCATTACTATACATAACACTATCATTTAGATCCTTTCGCGTCACAAATCGCATTCAATTTTAAATCGGTGGCGCGTGCGCTTACGCAAGCCCCACCCACGATGACACGGAACTCAAACAACACAACCATTACTGCGGAAACGAGAAAAATTAATATAAATATACATTCAAAACCAGTAATGGAATGTAAACTAATAAATTAGCATCGCATTTGACCTTGAAATCAAGTCTTTTTTGGTAAAATTGCATTTGGTTGTGTTTGTACGTGTTATGTAGTTCAAAGGTCGTTGAACTATATTTAGGTGGGTCGACGATAGGCCAAAGAGACTTCGACATTCCATTGTCTGTTTTAATCTTTTGTCGTAAAAGTTACAAGTTTTGCGAAGCTGTAAAACTATGAGTTATTTGCATTTATTATGAACGTAAATGAAAAATAAGTAACTATTATCTTGTGTCTATGGTAAAGTCAAAACGTTATTATTTTACTGGCCACATATAAAATATTTATAACACACAACTTGTATTTTATTCTTTTCTATAAATAAATCTCGTGATAACATAAAACCTATTTATAAAATTATTATACGCCAATGCGAATATTTGAATCACTTAAGAATAATTTTATTTCAATTTTATATTTTAAATACATGTCTAAAAGCATTCGACAGTTTTAATGATAATTAACACATAGAAATAACGGTAGTATCAAAATCTAGATTGATTAGATGTACATACCTCATACATACAACCTCAAAGATAGTTATTAGATTAAGAAACTAAAAAAAAAATATTGTCATCACCGGGGGTTTTGAGTGTTGTGGTGTTAAGCTGATTATTATGTATTTGATATACCTAATAATACAGCGTAATACTCGGCTAATCCAAAAAATAATAATTACCTATATCACATTACAAATAAACCTGTAGTTCAATTCACCTCTTAAGTTATGTCCGGATTGTATGTAGAGGGTAATTTTTGGGACCGCTGTTCGCATTTCCAAAATTATTTCAATGATAGATACAGCTACAATGTTAATTAGCGCTAAAGGCTTAATAGGCTACGCAAATCATGTATAATATATAGCATAGTTAGCTATATGTTACACATAATTTGCGTATCATTTACGTAGTTTTATCGAGTTTCAAACGCTGCATTTTTTTTTAATTCCAGGATACATTACTTTTAACGCGTGCCAAGCAGAAGCTGGTAGTTAATAAAGTACAATTACAAATTTCATGTAATACACACGCGCATACCCACACACACACACACACAAACCCCCCAAAATTATTATTGATCCATTGATCATACGATGGCTTGTTTTGATTGCATCGTATGCTTGTTCACTATCCCAACCCACAGAAAACTAATGAATATAAAATGTATTCATTGGCTTATTGAAAACTAATAAATGTTTTCAATAAGCCAATGAATGTATCATAACATGACAGGCAATGCCGTAAAATAATATCAATATTTTGCCAAAATTATGTAGCTATGTCAACAATTCCATATTATGTAATAAAAATTAATATACATACATGCTCTTAGAAAACACGTCCGATTCGCTATCTCCATGCTACGGTAATTTATTTAGAATTCTTCGATTAGTGATGACACATCAGTACCTTTCTTAATAACTTACTTATAAAAAAAATTTTACAAAATAAAAAAACCGCCTTCAAAAAAAGTCAAGCAATAAAAGTTCCTACACTAAAAAGTAAAAAATAACAATTTGAATTACTGTAAAAAAACTTAATTTATAGGTAAACTTATTTGACATTAATATTTTGCAAATATTCAAAATTTATTACTTATTTTTGGAGTCGGTGCCAGCATTTTGATGTTGAAACTTAATGTTAGTTAGGTTTTTAATATCCGGTGCCATTTTTCGTACATAATGCTTAAACATTTTCAATGTACTTAAAATGTTTTTATAAGTACATATTTTTTATTTAAAAAATGTGCAAATCGGACATTTTTTGTAGAGAAGTCTAATCTGTATTTATGTCTTAATTAATATACCTATATTTGAGTATGCAAATAGGTATTAAGTAGTTTTATAATTAAGTAAGAGGTAGTTTTTCAAGGGATTGTTGCCCATTTGTATTTCCTTGCATGGGCTGGCACCGACTCCAAAAATAAGTAATAAATTTTGAATATTTGCAAAATATTAATGTCAAATAAGTTTACCTATAAATTAAGTTTTTTTACAGTAATTCAAATTGTTATTTTTTACTTTTTAGTGTAGGAACTTTTATTGCTTGACTTTTTTTGAAGGCGGTTTTTTTATTTTGTAAAATTTTTTTTTATTTGTAGCCGTTTAGTGTTTTTTTTTTTATTATAATGTGTTATGGCAAAGAAGTCAATATCGTTCCTACATTTCTTTTGAAAAAGTTACCAATGTCATACTTATACGTAGAAATACATATCATAGTACATTGTTACTGTGTAATCGTTTTGATCTCGAGGATATGATATGATGCATGAGATACTTATGACTTATAGTTAAAATAAAATAATAATCTTATCATAAATTCATATTAGTTCTCGCCAAATAACAAAAAACTAGATATTTTCATCAACAGACAGATAAAGTTCAAAGATACCAAATGCAATCTAATTTAGTATCTATGATTAAATACATTCGTACATAGAAAAAAGACCGATGCAATTATTGTTTTGTATCAATTGTAACCCATTAAATGAAGAATACTATTTTGTTATTACTAAGAACATTCATATATAGACAAGTTGGTAAAAATATAAAAGACCATCGCTATTGTAAATATACATTTATGACTCATTCAATGTATGAACCTTTTTTAAGTAAGTATTATCTACATATGTGCACACAAAAGAAACACAATTATTGTTTTGTACGACGCAATTATTGTTTTGTAACCCATTTAAAACGACTGTTTTGTTAAAAATGCCAATGAATTCTCTTAGCCTATTACCAGGAAAACGATAAGAACACAATGACGCATTTCACCACTAATGTGTAAACGCAGTCCACGTGGACTAATGCAAAATAGCCAATACTAGGCCAAACTCCGCCCCCAAAGGTGTGCGGTCCCGCTCTAGAACCTTTCGGCCCCATCGGCCATCTGTTCTACGAGCAATGTGCCGTGCCCACTGTCACTTAAGTTTGGCATTTCTTCGGGCTATGTCGGTGACGCTGGTTCTTCTGCGGATTTCTTCATTTCTGATTCGAACATGCACGGAAACTATGAGCATAGCCCTTTCCATTGCTCTTGACAGCTCTAATAAGCTTACACAATACTAGGCCCCATGCCAACCTTCCAGCTTCATCATCACATCAGTTCAATAGTACCTTACAGCCAAAGTGCATCTTATAACAATTCTAACAAGCCCAAACACGGCTAGGATATATTAATTAGGTACGCAGTTCCAGT